ACATCCGTCACACCAAGGAACTTACGACGCCTTTTGCACAACAAGCAATCGAATGTATCGGAGTTACTGATTCACAGGATTGTCGGTTGGTGGCGGTTTGAAGTTACTTGTGGATGGAGCAATACACACACAAGCATACACACGCGCGCGCTCACCACAACACAACAGAAAATGCGGCACATGAGACAAACAGTACACAATTGTCACACGAGGCAATGATTAGACGGCAACACCCAAAGACTTCCCCTACCCAAAGTGTCGCAACAGTACTCACCGATATTCCGGCGCGCAGCACATTCAAGTCTGACAAATGAGGCTTCTGGTTGGGGCGATTACAGGTGACAGTTAAGCATCTCAGTGTCGTGGTAGACAGATGGCAATGGTGGTTGTGGTCATGGTGATATGCCCTCATACACATCCACCTCCTACCCACCTCGCTGTTATGCAGCGTGGCTGCTTTCACAGAGGTCAAGAGAGCCGATAACACCAACTGAGGTGTAGGTGTGAAGCAAACCTTTTGCTATTGCCTGACGACAAAGCGAGAGGTGTCAGTTTGACTTAGTAGGAAGGCTGCCATTTCGCTGATAACATCTAGGCCTCACCTGACACATACAAAGGTATTCTAATTTGGTTCTCGATATTGAGGAAACAACTGATCAATCGGATTGAAGGCACGTCGGATTCCGAAGGAGCTAACTCTAGGTCATAGGTCAACGACGCTAGCAACGTAGCCCACCACGTCGAACAGTCAGTTCTAATTTCCCTCTTCCAACTTCGAATAAATTCACGCGGCTTATAGCACATCTTAAATGCTACAGCCTGCTTTAATATTCTTCAAATCACACACACACACACACACAACCTTCATTCATCCACATGCAGTAATCAGACTCACACACCAACCTAGTTGAAGTTAAATCACTCGCTCGAGGCACACGATTTAAGCCGATATGAACAGCCAACATCACGAGCCATATAACAGATGGTTGTGGGTCGTGAATTATGCCGGTTGACCTCTAGCCACCCCTGTACTC